TTCATTTGTCCTTTAAAGAAAGTGTGGAAGTTTATAGAAAGTAAAATTTTACATCTTTGTCAATCTATCCAAAGACAACCTTTTTAAATGTGTTTAACTACCCATTTAGAGACTGGTGAGATAGCTCAGCACTTAAGAGCATTTATTGTTGCTGCAGATCTGGGTTAAATTCCCAGCACCTACATTGCGACTCATAACTATCAATGACTCCAATTTCAGGGATCCAACACCTTCTTCTGACCTCTATGGGCACCAGGCATGTATGTGGTATAAAGACATACATGTGAGCAAACTATTCATTCACATAAAATTAAAAATAAATCTTAAAAAATATTTTAAATTAATAGAAAACATATTTAAACTATCACATTGGTTTTGCTAGAAAGGCTTGGAAATATATTTTACCTCCCTTTGCTTCTGATAGTTAGACTACAGATTATCAGAAATATTTTTAAGTAAATTATATTTTCTCTTTAGTATAAAACAAAGTTAAAGCTCATCTTTTGTTTCCCACTTGTTAGGCACAGGAACTCACTAAAAAATGAATCTCAAGTTCAAAAGCACAACTGAGGAATTTAAAAAAAAACAAAAACGAAAGTACTGTCCATGCTATGCTCATGCTTGGGACTTAAGTCTCCTGGCCTGCCAACGTCAGTCTCCAGACTACAGTTACCTAGGAACTGGGCAGCATCCATTGAGGTATGTGGAGGACCAGTTCAGAAGTCAGAAATGAACTTAACGAAGCATGGAAAGAGAGTTTCACTGGGCACCAGGCAACAGAACCAACTGCTGAATTTCTAAATCATATCCAAGTTGTCTAAAGTTCTGATATTGTTTTAGACAGCATATGTTAATTTAAAGTATTCAGTATGTAAGAACTAGACCTAGTGGTGGCCCTTGTTCATCAGAGTTAATGAGCTTCCAGATGAAATCTAGATCCAGGCCAAACAGGCCTTTCTGTCCACACTGCTCTAATACACATTCCCTCCCACTCTCCAGCACACAACTTCTAGCTTTCTCAATATACTGTGTTTGAGGTATGGCTGTGGAGAAGGATGTAGGTGGTGAGTTCTAGGAACATATGTGACACAGTTAATTCCTTTCTCCATTGCCATGATCAAGAACCTACAAGCTGTCTTACTCTGTTAGAAATGACTTGTGTTCTCTGTTTGGTAATGGGTGCCTGCATTCCAAATACTGTTGAAAGATGAAAATTATTCTGTATCACTGAACTGACAGCTTCTATCTGCTTCCAAGGTCAGTGTGTGATGACACAAAGGTTATCAACTAATATAAAAGGCTACACTCTATTAACTTTGTTATACGCTTTAAGAGTCATGAAAATTGCTGTCACTTTGAATTATGTACTGATATTAGTGTTGGTGAGGTTGCATGCAGCAGGATCATCAGGTCACCATGTCATAAGCAGGTTGCATGCAGCAGGATCATCATGTCACCATGAGGTCATAAGCAGTGAAGGGAAAACTGCATTCAACACACAGCACTAGGGCTATTTCCACTCACTTGTGCTATTGGAACAACGTAACACAAACTAAGAGGCTGAGACAGCAGAGACTTAATGTCTCACAATTCCAGAGGCTAAAAGTTCAACATCAAGATGCCCATTGAGCCGCATTCCTTTGGAATGTTAAATATCTGTTCCAACTCTCCCTAGTAGTTCTCTTGGTTTGTAATATCATCAGTGCAGCCTTCATACCAGGTGTTCTCCTGGGTACATATCCAGATGCAAAGTCCTTCTTTTAAGGACACCAGACATACTGAGCTAGTAGCCTAATCTACTCTGATGCAACGTCAATTTAACAATCACATTTATAAAGTCCCTATTTCCAAATGAAGTCACACTGAGAACTACATATTCAACATGATAATGTGGGGCATGCCACAATTCAACCCACGACAAGGGTCTATAAGCCAAGATTAAAGCTTACTGAATTTCCTCCCACATTATAATAGGCCAGAATGAATACCTGGTAATGCAATCGGAAAGCCGTCTTCGAGTAGAAGCCTGACTTGGTAGCCAAAGTAGATCTGGAAGATGTGTCTATCAAGAGAGTACCTTGTTATAGTGCTTTAAATGCCAGTGGTAAAATTAGTGGTGGGCCCGTAGCATGAAACTGAGAATAAATAAGACTTAGAGAGATGGAGGGCAACTAATTTGCTCAATCTTTTGAGAGAAGATATCATAAAACTATTTTGCTTTTCAGTTAAAGTCAGAAAACCCAAGGGTACACAATTCCTTTGTTGTGGAGAATGAGAGCCCAGATGTGCTGATACACCATCCAGTAAATTTTCTCTACACCACAAGGATTAAAACTCTGAAATCTGCCCAAGACATCCCTGCTCAAAATACCAACACTTTACACATTGCTTATCTGTGAATGTTGAACTCCAAGAGGTGTGGATATCTAAGACAACTCAGCTGGCTTTATTTATCCTCCTGCCGGTTCTTAACAACTAACTGTAAGTTAACACTGCCCTCTAGAGGGCTCCTGCTTGGTCTCCAGTTCAGTTTCATACCCACTGAGCAGCCTTTCCTTTTCTAGTGTGTCCAGTCAATTGTTCTCAACAGCATATTCAGTACATAATTAGATAGACACAGTCAGTCATCACCAAGAAGGCAAAGACATGTTTTCTCAGCATGTGGCATAGTTCTCCCTCATTTCACAGAAGCTTTGCATCATTCACTTGAACTCATGTATATGGTCTCATCTCCACAAACTGACAGAAAACAAACCCCAATATCCAACTCCAAAGGCAGCATCGATCTCTAACTATGTATAACATTCAATGGAGTCCAAGTATTAAACTAAGAACATGGAGTACAAGCCACTGAAGACCCTTATCAGAGGCGGTTATCAAACTGAAAGGAGCTGAGTGGAATCCCTCTTCTGTGTTCTGTCTCTAGTTCCATCACCAGACATCCACACAAAAACAGCTAAGGCGACCGACCGTGCAGCCGTCTGTGTTTTTTTTCATTTGGTTTTAATCCTTTCCAACATGTGCTGCAAAGTCTACTGAGTCTCGGGACTCTTAGATTCTATGATCGCTTCTGCTGAAAAGATGTGTGACCCAGCTGCCCTTCAACCCCCCCCCCGAGTTTCAATTCCTTCCCCTTTAAAATGAGGGCCTGTGTTTAATTAGCTCAAAAGACCCTTGTACAGCCTTAATCCGTAAACTCTCCACAATCAGTTCTTCTGAGCACTAAATCTAGAGTCCAGAAAATCCATGTTCCAGGAGAGTTCTATTTAGCATCACTAAGAGTCTATGTTGGGAATAAGTTGCTTTAGCAGCAGGTCAAAGAGCTAGGGCAATCATAAGTAATACTTACATGGCTATTTCAAATATCAAAATATTCACATGAGTACATGCCACTGGGAACAATAATAACTTCCCCGAGAAGTTTCAAACACCCAAATACCTCCTATGATTTTTTATGATATCTTTTACTCTGATAACTAAGCTGTAAAAAAAAAAACTGCACTCAATATGACAAACTTAAATGAAACCAAGTAGTACACACCTGCAGTACAAACTGCGTTTGGAGGGCTAAGGGTGGAAGATCGTGTAGTCAGCCTTGAGACCTTGTCTCAAAAACTAAGCAAAGGTCTGAAGGTATAGTTTAGATGTTAGAGTGCTTGCCTCGTTATACATGAAGCCCCGGGTTTGGGCACCGGAACTGTGTAAATTGAGTATACTGGCATACGCCTCTAGTCTCAGCACTCAGGAGGTAGAATCCAGGGGATCAGAAATTCAAGGTCATCTTCAGCTACATATTAAGTTCAAGGCCAGCCTGAGATAAATGATATCGTGTGTGTGTGTGTGTGTGTGTGTGTGTGTGTGTGTGTCAAACTAGCCACATTCACAGTGAATAGTCGTGACTACTAATAAAAATCAAAAGCCTTTTGATGTCAATCAAATATTACTCCTCTCCTAAAACAAGCTGAGTAATTGAGCACATAAAATATAACCTAATATCTTTATTTCTGCTTACCTCTCCATAAATTCTTCTTGACTTAATACTTTAGTAACGAATTAATGAACTAAATTAATGTCAATTCCCACCATAGTACTTAAAACCTTACAAAATCTAATGTATAACACATCTGAAGGGATATTTTTGGACAAACTAATTGAAGCCACTCAGAAACATTTCCATGTCTTTCAAACAGGCCACCAATCACTTTCGTACTAGCTCTGACAATGTGGTTTTCTATGCAATTATTACCTACTAATACGAACCTTGTAAGCATTTCATTGCTGTGATTGACTCTGCCTCTAAGATATTTCACCTGTTAAATTCTCATATTTACAGGGAAAATATGTGCCAAACAACTAATACCCTGAATGGCTTCTCTTTGTGACCTAAAATGGTCAGTACCTTGAGAATACATTTTCTTGTTTGTCAACCTCAGTATAGATCCTTAGCAGAAATTCAAGGATTTAAATGATCATAAATAGGAAAAACTGCACTGAAGGATGAGGCTATGGCCTGTGTTATGAGCCAAGAGATCTAGAGTCTGAACTGCTGAGGATGTGCAAACCTTGTGCTCAAACAAGACTGCCCAGATACCAAAGATCAACACAATGGGGAGAAGCCACCAGCTGAAGTCAGAAGAACGCATTCTGTAATTTTAGTATGGTGTGTGAAAGAACTGCATGTCCACTGAGGCTCACTTCCTCTGAAGTCAGATGGCAGAGTGACTGAAGGCGCAGGAACTAGAATCAGCTCCTGTCAAAGAGAGACCAGCATGCTGAATGATGCTTTTAATGTCGCTACACTCAATCTGCTACTGTCTTTCAAGACATCTTGGAAATACATTTGCCATAGAGTTTGGCATTCATGGACACTGATGGAAGAAAGAAAAAAAATATAAATACATGTCAACCATCGTCCCACTCCCATCCACAGGTTCTGCCCAAGTTCCTTGGATTTCAACAACCAAAGACCACAATTACCAGGTGGTGGGGACATCTGTATTACATATACACAGGTTCTTATTTTGTGTCACTGTGTCCCTGAAAAATACAGTATGATGCCTATATACATAGTGCTTGTACTATATTAAGTAATATAAGCAACTCAGAGATTGTCTGAAGAAAGAAGCAATAGATGCATAGGTTATATATAAATATTATGGAATTTTATATAAATAACATGAGTATTCAGAGATTCTGTGTAGGGTCCTGGAAATAATCACTTGTGGATACTAAGGACAATTTATAAATAAAAAAAATCCTATGTTCACACACTGAAGTTGTCAATATTGTTAAAATGTATACACAATCTAAAGCAAACTGTATTCAACACAGTCTTAAAGTGTCTAAGATATTTTTCATGGAAATAGAACAATTTCCTAAAATTCAAATGGCATTGCTGAGACTCCCAAATACCCAAACCCATCTCAAGTGAAAAGAACAAAGTTGGAGGAGGCATCATGTTTCCTGACTTCAAAAGTTACTATAAAGCTTTTGTAATCAAAGCACCATAATACTGGCACGGAAAATTTCACAAAGGAAGCATGAAGTGTTCTTATCAATCAATTAGCAAGATGGCTAGCTACAAAAGCAGGGCAATCAGAGTTTCATCTGTGAAATCCATATAAGGATGAAAGGACAGAACTGGCTTCACAGTCTGGCCTCCATGCATGCCAGGAATCTCCCCCTCCCACATACACTAAAAGAATAACAATAATAATGATAAATTTTAAATGGTAGCCATATGAGGCAGATCATATGCTATCATGCTTGATTGGCCATTTCATAAGCATTGTAGAATATCACATTGTAAATAACATACATAATTTTTTCAATTTTAAGAATTTATATTTTTACACTTCAACTTCTACAGATATAAATAAGTAATTGATATATCTGGATCTGATATGCTTATGGCATCATCACCACTACCCCCATGGAGAAATAGCACGAAGTCAGCAGAGGAACCCCAGAACTGTGTCAGAGGTGGCATATTGCCAAACACCCTTAAAACAAGGAACTTGAAGTGTACCCTCTGAGAAACCCTCATCCAGATGCAGTTTCCATCAACCTGACAAAAATGCTTGTTCCTAGAGCAAGCTAACATAATTCTAATTCCCAAATGAAATGCTATAAGACTTAGCGAAAACAAAACAGGTATCACACGTTGGGATGGATCCAGTATGCTCAGGTCAGTGGTCAGATGAAGAGAAAGTCAATTTCCAGTCTTACATGTGAAAGACCCTGCACCAGGCAGGATATGGTGGCACTCTATAGACTGGGGTATAAAAAAAAGCTGTTTCTCTTTCCCCTGCCAGGTCAATCTGACTGTGTCAGGACATCCCGTGCAAACATGCAGTAAGCTTCTGATGCCTCTCAGGAGTTCCCACGGTGCATCTGCCCAGGCCAGGACTTTAGTGCACACACCCCAATGAAAAGTTCTTGAAAAATGAAACAATCCTGAATCTACTGATGGGTTTATTATAGCTTATACGTTCTACAATAATTATGGAACTTGGTGCATTGAGAACATTGAACACTTGAAAGCAAATGCTAGATTGAAGCTGTTCCACCAGGTTAGAAGCTGTTGTTGTCATTGTCATCATCGTCATTGTTTTGTTGTTGTTTGCTGTTGCTGCTACTCCTGTCTGAAGGGGGTATCTTCCTTCTGAAAACCTAGTGCCCCATTTGTAGACCCAAAAAGATAATATGAAAGGCTATTCCATGCTTTGGCTGTACAATGCTGAATCCTGAGAAGTGAATTCTTTTGGTCTCTACTCTCTGGAACATAGGGCACCTGTAAGGCAGATTCATCCACAAATAAAAGCCACGTAAATGTGAGGCAAATGTGGAAAGAGTTAGTACTCACAATTCATAACATGTGTTGGGTGGGTGGGGGCCTCCCCTCCCCTTGTGGCCAGGACTAGAATCCACCTCCCTCTAAGGAGCACCCTGCCCCTGCCCTCTTACACGTTTTGATCTGACATTGAGGGAATTTTTCTTCTCTCCCTGTCTTTTTTCTTGGCTGGAACTGCAATGAGGGTAAGAGACTTTTCACTTACTCACTGGTTCAGAGATTGTAATCTGCCTCCTTGAACTTCACTCATTTCTGCCAAATCTCTTGGCAATGGAAAAATGTCTCACGAGCGTGCAGGAACTTGCAGCAAGAGCTGGAGTTCATTAGCTTCTATTCAGTGTTCTTCCTATTATCAACGCACTTGGAGGTTAAACACAATCCGTTCTCCATGTGTTATTTCTCAGATGGAAATAGGTCTTCTAAAACAAAGTCTCTCGAACTATAGAGAGAGTTGAAGACTCTTTTGAAAAATCCGCAAAGATCTGGGTCCCACCTCCAGAGTTCTGATCCCACAGGTCTGGAATGGAGCACGAAAACATTTATTGAAGTAAATCCCCAGGCCAACTTGACAAGGGGGATCTAGAGACCATATTTTGATAATTATCTTTTTAGAACGTCTTGCCACACTCTCCCTAGCATTCAAATCAATTCAAAGGAGCTTATATGAGGATACTGGATTGTAAGTGATGATTGATGTCAAACTTGTCTTATGCAAATTGCAACTATGACCTTAGGGCTATTATAATTTCCCATGCATTAGCTAAATTTGAGCAGGGTTTATCTCCTGTGTTTGTGTACTAGCATTGCATAACTACCTATGCTATGAATCATTTGTGAGCTGGCACTCCAGACTTCAGAGGGAAGCTAGACAAGCCAGGTGTCCTGTACTAGCAATCTGGAGCTCAATTTGTGGGTCTCTCCTCACACCAAGAACCTTGTCCAAGAGAGACTAGATGAATAAAGAAAAGACAACTTAAGGAATTTGATATTTGCCCTTAAACTGAGCAGGATATCTGAACAAAGTATATTCCAAATGCTGGTAAACAAGACAAAACCTTCCTTATGCCAACAGACAAGGAACTTTGGGGACCTGCTTGGGAAAAGAGTACAGTCATGATCATGGGATAGAAAACGAGCCAAGGCAAAGCACAACCCAGTGCTCATTTTCATAGTATTGCTACTACCGCAGGGCCTGTCCTGTCTTTGGATTAGTATTCATTGTATTAAAAAGAATTCCAGTTTCTTTCAACCATGTAGAACGTAAGTTTTGCATCTTTAAGTCACAAATAGAAGAAAACAGAATTCTAAGAATAAGGAAATGTAATGAGAAACTAAGTACTACAGAAAGGGAGAACATTAGGACCTCACATTAGCACAATCCTTATCAGTTTCTTCACTCAATCTTTGGAGGTGTTTGTTCTTATAAAGACAGTTCAATCACTTAGTGCTCTAGGATTTTGTTGCAGTTGTTTCAGGTCATGGGTTTCTGGGTTCTGGTGCATGCATGAGTACAGGCATGTGTGCATGCATGCATAGAAACTAAACACGGTGTTTTAAAAATATAAAGCAAGTTTCCTACCACTGGACTATATCCCCAACTGTGGGTTCTTTAAGTACGGAAGAGTTCTTTTCATTAGTTTAAATCTTAATATGTCAGTAAGTGTTTTATGGATACCTGTTAAAAAAAGACTAAATATATTTAGAGGGGCATACAATTTCCCTGCATACAAACAGCTTTAAGTTTGGTGTCACATATAGAGAATTAAACAAATAAACAAATAGGTAGTCAGGTAACATTTTATGGACCCAGTTTAATACAAAATAACATCTAAAATATAAATTAGGGGGGAAATGGAACTATTCAGATACATCTTCAAAAAACATTGCTGAGTGATGATATAAGACATGATAAATAATATCACATTTCTCACTAAAAACTAATGCTTAGCAGATATGCTTTTACAAAACACAATAAGAAAACAAGCCAATAAAAGGCCATATTGAGCAAACTCTTTGCCTAATTCTACATGTCTGACGATAAAGGAGATGAAAAATGGTCGATGTCATTAATTGTAAGGAAAATGTAAATTAAAACTATGAATTAAAATAATTTCAGCTGTATTACAATATCTAGAAGTTTTAGGACGTCTGGCTGTATCTGGTGTTAGTATCCTGTATCAGGATGGGAGGCAGTGTCACCTACTCATGTGAGTGATGGGCAAACACTGGAACTAGCTTGAAATAGTTGAGTGGCTTCCCAGGTTAAATAAAATCTGTCCATACAAGTCCACAGCACCCAGAGGGATTTAACTAAAGAACTGAGAACCGTTTTCTATGAAAGAACACATGTGTGAATGCCCATCACTGCTTTACTTTTGAAAACTGAGAGCTGTAAACAACACAGTAACAAACCTCATCTGGATGAGTAAATGAACAGAAATGTCTACATAGTGGACCGATACTACCTACATACCACGAAGGACTGAACTATGAATACAGCCAATAAAAAAGACCCTCAAAGAATTCAACCTCCTCCAAAATAATAATATCCACATGACTGTATGAGCAATTTTGAAAAACACAAATTAATCCATAGTGGCAACAGCAGGTTAGATGCCTTCATGATAAAAAAAAAAGTACTGAATAAATAAGTGATAGATAAGACATAGCACAAAATAATAAAAGCTATACACAATTAACATTATGCCTAACATTATGAAAAGGAAAAATCTGAAAGCCTCACCTCCAGAAGCTGGTACCCACTCTGTTCCCTCTTACTCAAGATACTAAAGTCATAGATAAAATAATAAGGCAAGAGAAAGATACAAAATGATGAAACTAAGAAAGGAAGAAGTCAAATTATCCTTATTCATAGATGACATAATTCTATACTTAAAAGACCCTACAGACTCCAACAGAAACCTCTTAGATTTAATTAACACTGTAGGTAAAGTCACAGGATACAAATTAACATGAAAAATTCAGTAGCTTTCATGTATACCAATAGTTAAGTTGCTGAGAAATAAATTTAGAAAAATAATCCGTTTCACAACAGTTCCAAAGGACCTAGGAATAGGCGTTACCTAGCAGTGAAAAAAAACACTACAATAAAAAATTTAAAACTCTCAAAAAAGAAATTAAAGAAGATACTAGATGATGGAAGTACCTTACATGCTTCTGGATTGATACAATCACCATTATAAAATGGCTATCCTGCCCAAAGGAATCTGCAGATTCAACGCAATCTCAAAAAAAAAAAAAAAAAAAAACCAATATCATTCTTCACAGACCTAGAAATATCAATCTTAAAATGCATACAGAAACATAAAGACTGTGAATAGCCAAAAAGTCCTTAACAGAAGTGGTACTGCTGGAAGTATCACAATACTTTACCTCAAAGTATGCTCCAGAGGGGCTGGAAAGGAGGGTCAGTGGGTAAGACCATTTTCTACACAAACATGAGAATCTGAGTTCTAATCCCACCACATAGCCTAGTGTGCCTGTAATCCAAGGATTAGGGTGTGAAGACAGGTGTATTCTGGGGGCTTATTGAACAGTCATCCTAGCCCCATGGAGAGCTTCCCCATCTCCCCATGGAGAGAGACCCCATCTCAAGAGAACAAGATGAATGGAGAAGGATACCCACTGATCACCTAATTTATTTAAAAAAAAGGAATCAAAAATATACTGGAAAAGAGGTAGCCTATTCAAAAATGATCTTGCAAAACTAGATACTTGCATGTAAAATAATGGAATTAGATCCATATCTATTTCTCAACTGCTCAAAAAAACTCAAAGTAGATTAAAGACTTTAGTTTAAAACTGACACCTGAAATAGCTTGAAGAAAACATAGAGTGTATACTTCAAATACAAATATAGGAAAGAATCCTCTGACTAAGATCCTAATGCACAGGAATCAGCCCTTAGAGTTAACCAAGTACACTACATGAAATTCTTTTTGCACAGGAAAGAAAACTATCCACAGAGCAAACAGACAATCTAAACAGTGGAACAAAATCTTTGCCAGTCATACATCAGACAGGTGGTTATATCTATACAATATAAAGAACTAGAAAATAAAACATCAAAATCAATTCTTTCAATTAACAAACAGTCTAATTAAATGAACAGTTTCTCAAGAGAAGAAAAAACACACAGCATATAAGTACCTTAACACTGTTCAACATTGTTAGTCATTAAGGAAATGCAAGTCATGACTGCTTTAAGATTTCATCTTACCCCAGTCAGAACGACTATCTTCAAGAAACAACAAATGCTGGCCAGGATATTGGGAAAGAGGAATACTTATTCACTGCTGGTGGGAGTGGAAATCGGCACAACCACTACAGAAATCAGTATGGAAGTGCCTCATTAAATTAAAAATAGGACTTCCACATGACCCAGCTCTTCCCCTCTTGGATATACACCCAAAGGACTGTGTATCTTGCCAGAGAATACCTGCACATTCATGTTTATGGCTGCATTGTTCCCACCAGCAAGGAAATGGGACAAGCCTAGATGTCCAACCCAGGTGAATGAATAATGGAAACACAGTGCCTGTGTGTGTGTGTGTGTACATGTGTGTGTATGTGTGTGTGATGGAATTTTATTCATCTGTAAAGGAAAACAAATTGCATGAAAACCTGGAAAGTATTACATTAAATGGGGTAACTCTTACTTAAACAAAAATCACATGTTCTCTCTCATATACCTGTTCTCACTTATCATGTTTCTCTAATTTTGCTGAAGTCAGTATGGGTACAGGCTAGGAAACTAGAAAGGAGACCATGGGATGATACTGAAGAATGAATGACAATCAAATTTACACATTAGACAGAGAAGCTGGAAAGAAGGATATGGGTGGTGGGTAAAAGAGAAGGATAAATAATCAACAAAAGCTAGGTTTTTCAAAAATGAAAACCTAGTTCTATATGTATTAAATTTTAAAATATCTAAATAAAATTTGGGGAGGATAGATTGGAGTTGTCTGAGGCTATGAGAAGAGTGTCAGGGCCCAGCCTTAATGGGGTCTGCATATTCAGGGTAGGGGCATGAGAATTAGAAATATTAGGCAGGAGGAAGAGAGATACAAAAGAAAAAGAAAAGAGACACAGAATAGAAGTGAAAACTGAATTCTTCTGAATTTATTTTCTATATGCTTATAAACCCCAATCCAAAAGGAGGAGGAAGAAGGCCAAAAGACCCCTTTAACATGATCCAAAGAACAAACAAAGCAATTACCTGCTTCAATACCTGAAACATCAAGCAACTATATCCTGAGTTAAGTAGTCTGTTGTTTGGGCAAGACATGCAATGACCATACCTTGGACCAAGCATCCTGTAGGCATCCACTCCCTGGGTCAAGCCTCCTGTCATATCCTTGAAGGAGCAGGAATAGGCTTGAATTCGCTGACCTCTGGTCAAGGTGGAACAGATCCACTTCTCTTGGCTCCCACAGAAGAGATACAGGAAAGATATTCTTGTTAGATTCATGGTCTTGAAGTGCGTGTGTGTGTGTGTGTCTGTGTGTGTGTGTGTGTTACACTGTATCACTGTGCACACTTTAAACTTGTACAATGTTACATATATTGTAGGCTGTAATAGATCATTGCCTATTTTAAAACTGATTATCTAAATTTACTACTCATGAAGAGAAGGTGTAGGAAAAACACTGACCAGGGTGGGCCATTATGTAGGACCATCTTCTATCCACTTGTTCAGGACAGTTACAGTTTATACCCCTTGCCTGGCATCCTTATTAAATGTCCTTTCATTCTCAAAAGAACCCTAATTTGTAAATAACCTATCACGTGCTCATAGTCACTGTGTGCTTAGCCAACCTAAGAAGAAGCACTGTCTTCCCCTTAGAAAAATCAAACTGAAAATCACCGAAGCCCTAATAGCAAACGTTCAGGGAGGTGTGTCAGCCTCAACTTTCAAACTAAGAGCACAACAGATAAAGCAAAGTATACCCGACTTTCCATGGAAAACTCCAAGCAAGAGCAAAGGGGCAACATCATTTCAAAGACAGTAGCTTCCATTCTGAGTTTGCACTTGCTAGTGATAGGACTGGGTTGACTACTGGGAAGACTTAGCTTCAAGAGTAGCAATTACAAACACACGGACGTGAAGCAAGACAACTGTGACAAGGCCTGGGACAGGGCCAGCTCACTCTAATGCTATTATTTCTTTAGAGTCAAACAAGTTTTTACGACAAGAACGGAAATTTAGTTCAAGAACTTTGAGCTTCTTGCTTCCTATTGTCTTCAATGTACTGAGAAATTACACATGTATTTATTTTTGGTTTTGTTTGTGTGGCACTGGGGGTTGCAAGAGTAGGCACAATGTAAATATTTGTTAAATAATAAGTGAAGTAATTGTCATTCAATTATTCTAATTTTTCCTTATACAAAATTAAGAATGTTTGTCATAGACTACTGCTGTTACAACATCAGTTGCTCCTAGGACAAAGCCTCTTGACTGAGTATTCAAACACAGTGAGAAATGGTGTTATGCACCTGTTTTGTACTAGAGACCATTAAACTCAAAAAAAAAAAAAACGATGTAGTTAAGAGAATTAAATTGAGTTCTAAGTGCAGAAAAAATCAAATCGTGTTTTTTAATATGGAATGGGGGTCAAGGGAAGTCCAATTCGAAGACCTCATGCTTTCATCTCTAAATAGACATTCAAAATCTTTAACAGATGAGGGACGGGAAGGGTTAGGCTCTGACCTTTAATGAGAAACTCCTTTGACCCTCGTTTATTTTTTCTTCACTCCTCATTCAATGCTCAAGAGCCAGGAATGAACCTCAGGCCACAGGTGTGCAGTGCACGTGCTGTTAATCTGTCCTGCTGAATTTCTGAATTTGTCCGACAAAAAGACTGAAGTGGTCTTTCTGTCAAGTCTTGTTAACTAAAATTTAATGGGCCCTCCTTAGAGCTTCATCTTCAGTTAACTAAGCTAGATATAGATGCCAAGGTTAAAGGCAGCAGATGCAAAGCTCGCAATGGGCCCATACGGAATAACATCTGCTTTTAATGGAAGACACATACATGCTAAGGGATAACCTTGAATACCGTAAGTTAATGGGTGACCTTCATAGCAATGAGAAAACACAAACTCTGCATATGACAGGGCACCAGCACAGCTCCCTTGCGTGGTAAGTTCATTTAATTTAAGCATGCAAGTCAGCTCATATTTGAATCTTATTGGCCTCCTACAAGACAGAGCACATAAGAGCAATGCAGCAAAGAAAGAAAATATCCTTAATGATCATAGAGGGAGCCTAGCCAGTCCCCCCAAAGATCACAAGCCCTGCACGATCTTTCTACCTACTTCTGGAATGGAGATTGCACAGAAATGGAGATTGCACGGACATAGTTTCCATCTCAAACATCCACTAGACACATCAAGTGCAGGCACTAACAAAGGGGAACCAGCACTCACCAGGCTCACTCAGAGTGCTGACACACTGGTGAGCAGAACTGTGTTTGCACTCCGTTGCTTCCAAAGGAATCCTTCCTGGACACATTTAAATTGCAGGGCTCACATAATAAAAATTGCCTGTTCTCCACTTACTCAAATAATGCATTTTCCTCATTGCTGTATTTTGATTTCCGTGTTAGATCGGGACAACATTATGGTCTAAGAAAATTATGGTGTATAAAAGATCAGCCTAGGGTTAGATGTGGTAGTGGAAAATATTCTGGCAGGTACAGTTCGTGGAGTGTGTTGCAATTGCTTTTTAAAACTCTGAAAAGCTAATGTTGAGAAACTTTATAGAAATCAAGGTGCTATTAGCAAGGCCTGTTGACAGAGACAACTGGGTAGAAATAAACCCATGTCATAAAAATACCATGAATTTTCTTCCTCCAGCAGTGGCCTGCCATCTAGTGGATGCATTGCAATACAGCCAGGAGTTGCTTTACTTAAAATCAACCATATCAATTGAATAATGCAGTAGTGTCTTTTGAATAAGAACAGAGGCCTTTGTTCTAGTTGGCGGACCTCAAAATAAAGCCTATCTGGTTTCTAAAGAACCATGGTGCAGTCTGTCCTCGCTTGCTTCTCTGCTGCTGTGACAAAATCAGCTGCGGAGAAGGAAGGATTTATTTCATCTTACAGCCCAGCACTGAGGAAGTCGGGGAAGGAGCTGGAGGCAGGAACCTAGCAGCAGGAATGGCAGGAAAGGCCATGGAGGGACTGGGCTTTCTGACCTGCTTGCAGGTTCTTATGCAGCAATCTGTCTTATACAACCCAGGACCACATAGCCAGGGTTGCACCACCTATAGTAAAGCCCTCTTCCCTCCGAGAGCAATCGAGAAAATGCTCCTCATGCATGCCCATACACCAACATGATGGGACCAGTTCCTCAGCTGAGATTCCCTCTTCCAACGTGTCTGCAGTTTTTGCCAAGTCAACAAAAACTAGCCAGCCCAGTCTTTACTGAGAGAATATCACTTTTGTACTTATTCTCACCAAAAACCAAGTCTTATTAAATCCAATCCAAAGTAAATAAAAAAGAATTATTAATATTCATTCTATTTATGTGTCTTCTGTGCCAATTCCTTAAATTATTATAGTATATCACACTTTAATTGGAATATTAGTGCCAAAAACATCAAGTGATTACCTATCAATTAACTTTAAAGACAGACATTAAAGAAATACAAAATATCTGCCCTTCAATTGAAGAATGGATGAAGAAAGTATGGAATATATACATATTAGAGTACTACTCAGCAGTAAAAAACAAGGACTTCTTGAAGTTTGCAGGCAAATGGATGGAAATAGAAAACACTATCCTGAGTGAGGTAAGCCAGACACAAAAAGCCGAACATGGGATGTACTCACTCATATTTGGTTTCTAGCCATAAATAAAGGACATTGAGCCTATAATTCGGGTTCTTAGAGAAGCTAAATAAGGAGAACCCAAAGAAAATCATATAGGCATCCTCCTGAATATTAACCTTCATCAGGCGATGAAAGGAGACAGAGACAGAGACCCACATTGGAGCACCGGACAGAAATCGCAAGGTCCAAATCAGGAGCAGAAGGAGAGAGAACACAAGCAAGGAACTCAGGACCGCGAGGGGTGCACCCACACACTGAGACAATGGGGATGTTCTATTGGGAACGCACCAAGGCCAGCTGGCCTGAGTATGAAAAAGCCTGGGTTAAAACCGGTCTAGCTGAACATAGCGGACAATGAGGACTACTGAGACCGCAAGAACAATGGCAATGGGTTTTTAATCCTACTGTACCTATTGGTTACGTGGGAGCCTAGGCAGTTTGGATGCTCACCTTACTAGACCTGGATGGAGGTGGGTGGTCCTTGGACTTCCCACAGGGCAGAGAACCCTGATTGCTTTTTGGGCTGACGAGGGAGGGGGACTTGATTGGGGGAGGGGGAGGGAAAGGGGAGGCGGCGGTGGGGAAGAGACAGAAATCTTTAATAAATAAATAGATAGATAAATAAATAAATAAAAGAAATACAAAATATAAGAGATGCACTCAGAGTTTTACGATGTAGTCAGAAAGGAAAAAAAATCCAAATGAAACCATGAGTGTCTCCTTGTACAGTCCAAAGGAAAGAGCTCCGCCCCGGGAATTGTCAATGTGTACGAGTGACACTTAGGTTATGTTTGACAATAATGAATCCCCAGGCCGGAAAACAGTGAAGATGTCTTTTCCAGGTGGGGATCATTAATATCTTAATATAAAGGGGAGGGAGAAATGGATGTACAATGGGAAGACTCACAGGAGTGGCATCCCAAGGAAACCTAGGCTGACAGGTGGTGAGCTGAACGCCATCTGCAACACCAGGAAGGTCTTTGGGAAAATACTGTTACATTGAAGATACCATGGCAGTGCTCGGGTACTCCTTATTTGCCCTGTGCTGAGCAACCATTGGCAGACTGTGAGGGACACAAATGCTCCTAACTGGGTTCTGAAGAGTGGGGGAGAGGGCAAGAAATCTCACATATCCCACAAGGTAGTCCATATGCTGAAGGGTGGAGCCAAGCAGCCCTTGGGAGACTTAGTCCTCCCTCTAGAGAACCAATGTGCCACCCTCCCTCTAGCCATATCTATTCCTTTACTTCTCTGTGAAGACCCAAAAATGTGAGCCCATTTCCACCTTGCCTAATGGTCAGAGAGTTTGGAGGTTGGTAAAAATTGTTGACAACAACCAGGGCTAAACATCCTGGCTCAGAATGTGGTTACTTGGTTCTTTTGACATTAAGATGGTCCATACAGGTAGATCCACTCCATCCTGACTGATGATCTGGATATGCTCCTACTTTTGTAACAGGAGGTTTGACCTAGGGAATGGCTGCCTTCAGGATGTTTGATCTAGGGTGGTTTGACTGTCTAAACAACAGAACATAAATGGATTAATGGCTTAATGCCTCAAAGTGACGAAGCAATTACCTGTTCAGTTGTCCTTTGTATCGTGTTAAAGATACCTTGAGTTGCCTTCTTCCCCCTTTTGTATTGCAGTATAAAAGTGTACAGAAAATTAAACACAGGCGATTTTCAGTATTCACTGGAACTCCCTCCCAATACTACCCTATGTTTCTGTTTTATTGTTTTACTTGAGCCTTTGTATTCTTTACTAACTTTTCTGAGTCCCACACCCCTAGCCTTGTAAGTGATATTTTTGTCGAGGCTGGTCCCCAATACTTCTCCACAAACAAATTAACAATTTTAATTTATTACTTTAAAAATTGAGCAGTTTTTTATCTCATCTTAACAAGAGTTTTAATGTACCTTAAAGCACTTCTCCCTACAGTTAAATTTTTCTGTTCCCTACCTGCCTGTCCTCTGACTTTTTTTATAATAATTAAGTAATAATTAAAATTACCATTTGTTTTACATAAAACACACATATATAATATATATACATGTACTGTTTGTTTCTTTCCCGCAGTTTTAAAGCCCTGTAAGAGGTTTGATATCTCACAATTATAGTCAAAAATGTTGCTGTTCAGAACAAGTGTACAACTGCCTTATACACAAAGTAGTAAGAATGATGGTAGAACTTTCTTATTTCAAATTTTGTACACAGTACACAGTTGCTTGTTTTCTTTGGACTCTACTGCCTTCTACTGAGGAAGATTCACTAAGATAGTAACAGTTGCCTCTTTCTGAAACTGTAGTGATATTGAAGTTGGCAGTCACAATCTGTGCCCCAATTCAGGTCTAGACACCTATAAGCCAATTAAAAGAACCAAATTAAAAGTAGAAAGAAAAAAAAGAAGATTTATACAATGTGGCAACGTTGGAAAGAATGACAAAGAGATCCAGAAAATACCTCAAGTCTGGTTTGGTCTTCAGGGTCCTGTAATGAGATCAAAATTCAAATAGAGGGCCAAGGATCGCACATCTCGGCAGTCCTGGTCAAGATGTGGTTCCGCCCACCATTAACCATCTCTGTCTGGGCTTCAGTCTCATCCTGTAAGATGATCTGACAAGTTGTTGGAACTGTGTGAACTCTCTTTCTGGGAAACAAGATTCCCTCTGACTGGAGCCTTTTCCTTCACCCAGCAGGAGACTCCTGAGGAGATCCTTGCTTCTTTGGGGTCCAGTAGTCTGACAATCAGATTGAAATGAGGTGTCTCTTTAGAATATCTTCATCTGCCAAGTCGATTACAGTAGTGTCTACGTATGTTTCCTCATGACTCAGAACCTTGATTTAATCAAATGAATTAGATATGGAAAAAGATTTTTTTTTGGTCAGAGAACATAACTTCCTGCCAAGAACAGGACTTTTGTCTATAAAGCCTTCATTGCTCCAGACATATTTATAATAAATATCATATTTTCCTGTTTTAGACCCTCTGTGAAACCATCCTCACCAATAGTCAAGATTGCCACATAATTCTACAAGACGTTTCCTATCTCCCACTTGAGTGTTTCTCAACTGTATTTTCTTACCCTCCAGATTCTCCACTTAGGACATGAATGCATTCTGCCGTTTGTATCCGTGGGTATCATCCGCAGCAACCACAGTGGGGGCACACGGTTAACAGAGACATTGTGTCACACCTTGGCAAGCACCCAAATCTGATGAAATGCCTGGAGCCTTTGCTTAAGTGCTCACATTTCTTTCGTTTGTTCCTCAATTTCTTTAGGGAAATGATCTGTGTGCCCCCACCCCAGTTTCTTGTGGTTTTTCCTTTGTTTGTTTTGTCCCTATTCCGATATGGGAGTTTCTGCTTTATCTTTATTTCATTTTATTTTTACTACTTAGATGCCAGTCTGTTTTCTAACGAGAGACAGAAAGGGTGTAGATCTAGATAAGAAAGGGGATGGGGAGAAAGAGAGAAGCATAAAGACTTGGAGGCATCATTCCCAGGAATTTAATAGTCCATTACACACTGTGGCCACTAAGGCATTTGACTGCTGTTACCTGACTGTGGCAGACACCATCTCCTGTTAACTTTGCATCTGACTTTTCTGTCCAAGCCTAAGGAAGGGCAGAAATGCATATTGTCATTTCATTCTGAAACAATGTTCGCTCTATGGGTCCTAGATAGGTTTTGACTCTTTCAGGGTGGCTTTAAAATCTGTTAGGTAGAAGGCACTCTCTAGTACCCCTGTAACATCTCAGTGAGTCTAAATTATCACTATGATTATGTAATTATCATCACTTTAACCCTAAGAATCTTCACAAGAGAGTATGATCAGCTCCATGCCAGCTCACTGACCTCTGACCTCAAAACTGATTTGCCAGTGACTCTGGAAGTAAGACCCTCTGTTAGGAGAGTTTATTGGCATGCATACTATGTTTGTTTGGTGAACTATATTTGGGCTATGAACAGGAGTACAGGTGAGGGGCTAATCTGCAAATAGCACTTCTGATATGTTTTGACCTCCTTGTCTGATCCATCCCCCATCACCCTTTCTGTCACCAGACTGCACTGCTGGCTTAAGCTGTACTCATGGAAAATTTAAACCCACAACATCTTTTTCATATAAACTAAGTTCAAACCAGCTGCCCTGTCTACCTACCTAGCCAACCCATACTCGGTTTATTTTTTCATCCAATCATAGGACTCCCCTGGTAATGGTTAGCTTGTACATTTCTCCTCCCAGTCCGCACTGTGACCGAATGGAGGAAAACTGAGACCCAAAAGCCCCGGGTGTAAACTCCAGCTCTCCAACTAACTGTGCAACTCCAGGCAAGTCATTCTACTCCTCAGGGTCTCGTTTTCCTTGTAAAATAAAATCAGAGCCTTAGACAGTTTCTTAGAACCTTTCCGTGTGTACCCAGGCTGCTATCATGCTAAAGCCTGTTGAACAAGCATGCTCTTTAGTTTAGTGATGAAAAATTATTCAGGGAAGCCAATTAACTTGACTCACATCATAAACTACTGGATTCTGGCAGGCACAGCCTCAGTTCTGTGCTTCTTTCTCTATTAGAGTCAGCATCTATGTAGCATCCTCTAGTTCTGTTCCATCAATCTCTCCTTCTCCACCTTTGCCCATAGCTACCAACTATCTTCTTAGACTAGAAAATCCTTTTCCTATGGCCTCCAATTGTGTCCTTCTTCCCCTATGCCATACGACTTATCCAAGAGGTCATGTGCAACTTATTAATTCATCCCATGAATGCTGGGCTTCCTTTTCAATGTTTCTGAAAACAGTTCCTGGACCAGTACACACAGGAGTCTTGTCCCCAGTGTCATCAACCTCCCTCGGGCAGCATCTCTGCCCCCAGTTCCTTCTCCCTAAGTTTTCCTTGAGGTTTTGTTCAAACAATTGTCTTTTGTGGAAAGTCCCAGTATTCGTCTCGATACAAGTTTCTATACATAACCTCTGACCTTCAGACATTAATGACAGTCATTTATTGTGACACTGTCTTTGAATGGTCTCTCTCCATATATTTCTCTTTCTGTTGAAAATCCCATCTCAAGAAATTATGCTTCACTAAAATCTGAAAACTTTTTTTCCCCCCTTAATGTAGGATTCTCCTCTATGAGCTATGAATATGTTTTATTATCATTAAAGAAGCTGCTTCAATCAGTGGCTTAGTAGAGTAAAGCCAGGTGGGAAATCAGAACAGAGATATAGAAAGAAAGTAGGCAGAGTCAGAGAGACACCATGTAGATGCCAAAGGAGAAAGACGCCAGAGGCCATATCCACAGCCTTGTGGCAATATACAGATTAATAAAAATGGACTATTTTAGGATGTAAGAGTTAGCTGGAAATATGCTTAAGATATTGGCCAAACAGTGTTGTAATTAAGATAGTTTCGGTGTGATTGTTTCAGGTCTGGGTGGCTGGGAAATGAACAAGCAGTCTCTGCCTACACCCCCTGATCAGATTCTAGACATATTTATCAATGTACACTCCTAGACAGAAATCCTGTCCAAATAGCCGAAAGCTGACCTATTGAGGCCTTTGTTGGAGAGCACTAATAGTGACTAATAGGCAATGTAGTAGGTGAGAGTCACCAGCAGTGCTTAACATGAGGTCAGAGAACTAACAGGCCTCTGGCCAGTAACTCGTAAAAATGCAAACTATTCTCTTTTCAGCTAAAGAAGAAGTGATAAACTTTAAGAGAAGGGTGTTTACTACAGATGTGTAAACAAATGTAGTTAGTTTTAGTACCAAGAACATTTTTTTAAATCCTTGTCCCTTTTTATGTCTTAGAACTAGTCAAAATAATCCATACGATGACCTTCAGAGCAAACCAAATTGGACTGTGCACACTGCAGAAGCAAAACGGGAGCATTCAAAGATAGACGAGGGCAGCAAGGGTGAAGACTGGGTGCATGCAAAACGATGGGGAAAGTCGTGTTGTTTAAAGGCATGTTGATGACTGTCAACCAAATGACTTTCAACGCCAACAGGTAGGCACTATGCTTCGGGGATTTAGAGGTGATATGGAATTAAAGGTCCAAACTTAGCAGTGCCCCACCGCAGCTTCTTCACCACCACCCCAATTAATATCCAGTTGAAAAACTGAATCAACATTGAGTTGAAAAACTCAACTTAGACATTTTAAAATACCACATTATTTTTTCATATAGTGTAACAAAATCTAAACTCTAAAATATTTTTAGGTATCCTCTATAAATTCTGACACAAACCTTAGATGACATTTTGAGATTTCTCTGACTTATGTTTTCTAGAATGCCCATACCTGTGTGAAGAAAGGGCTGTTTTAAACTCAGACAGTGTGGTTTTCTATTGCTTCTTGGTTAGCAGTCCAACTGCAATGAGTAATCTCCACGTAACTCTGCTGTCTTGTCCCTCTTATTACCTGTCCAAGTTAGGTTTCTGTCACTAGGATAAAACTAAGACCAAAAACAACGTAGGGAGAAAGGGCTTCTTTTATCTTAAAGATTACAGTCCTCATCCAGGGAAGCCAAGGCAGGACCTGAAGGCAGGACCTGAAGCAGAGACTATGGAGGGAAACCTACTGCCTCCTCGGGCTTGGTCAGCTCCATTTCTTATATGCCTAGGCCTGCCTGCCCAGGGATGCTCCTGCCTACCTTGAGCTGGGCCCTCTTACCTCAACTAGCAATTAGGGAAATGTCCCATGGGCATGCCCACGGGTCAATCTGATGACAATTCCTCAACTGAAGATTCCTCTTCCTAGGTGACTCTATAATTTGTGTCAAATTGACAAAAACTAACCAGCGCGTGACCTGAGGCCGGCCTCAGGTTTCGATCCTGAGAATGTATTTCAAGATAACAGGTGGGGATGTGGCGAGGTGGGGGACATGAAGCACAGCCTTTGAAAATACTTTTAAGCCAACCAAATAACAGAGTGAATACTACAAAATATGACTTTGATCATGCTGGGGGAAGAAAACTATGAGATGAGATGTGGCAAAGTCAAGTTAGACTTGTGAGAAAGAGTTTTCCCGTACTCGGGTAAAAAGAAATAGCGAAGATGGGAAACCCAGACAGCACAGGTCTTACTAATGCCCGCTTCCTCTTTCCTTCACAGTCGCCAACCCTTTAGCCCTACACACGTCACCAAGAATAAGCACTGTGCCGTCAGGAGGCTGGGTTTTGTTTTGTCACTGTGAGGGAGAGGATCCCTCCGTCCTGCAGGCACACAAACGTGGTTTTGAACATACTCAGAAAGGAATAGAGGAAGGATTTTATTGGAATTAGAGCAAGTAACAAGGGAGACAAATGTGGACTCTCAGCAGCTGCTAGGAGAAATCAGAGAGTTAGTCTTTCTGAGAGAGAACTGGAGGAGGCAATGAGGGCTCAGCCACGCCCTTTACAAGTAGCTGCAGTGCAGTCGGGGTTCCGGGGGAGTGAGGCTAACCAAACGTGGAGTTGGGAAGGCTCGGAAGTTGGGAAGCAGAAGGTGGAAAGGGGGAAGTTCTGCTTTCTGAGCGCTCATTCAGAAAGCGCTCCAGTTTGGCAGTGAATCTACAAGCAAGCCCAGCAGGGCCGGGCTGCGAAGTTACCTCACATACATCTCATTAAGGTGGTAGTTACCCCTGGGTTTTTGTCTTGTCCTCAGGTGTGCCATATTTCTGTTGTAGCTTCTGGTTTTGGACTGGTGCCCTCGGGACTGTAAAACAGTATTTCCTCCTTGAGGCAGCTGGTCTCCAGCCCTGCCTGGGAAGGAAATGAATCTGCTGTCTACCTCAAGAGGGCATTATCAACCACTAACCAAGCCATTTGTAAAAGGAATGACAGAGCATTGACTCTGCTATTTGTGCCAAGGTTGTCAACAAATTAGGACTCCTATGTCCCAAAAGAGGTCCCAGTACAGGGGGACCCAATACAGAGGGCTCCAACAGAGGGGTCCCCAACAAAGGAGGCACCTGCTATCCACATCACAATGAACATTATTCCACGTGGCCATGCCGTTTGTGCCAGATAATAACAGTATGCTGGCATTCATAATTTCCAAATGGTGCCTTGAAAGCAGCTGGCTGAAAATGGCTCTTTTCAATCCCTTTCTTTCTTCTGATCAGCTGTTATTTTAAACTCTACACCATGGAGTTGTTCCTATAACAACTCCAAAGACATTCCTTGAGACAGGTTGGTGTTAGCCTTTGTGCCCTTCCTACAGCCTCCCCCATCCTGTAGTTTGGATTCAGATATAGCCTCATCTCCATCTCTAACCACTAGGACAAAGAGAACGCCCTGATAAAGGCCAAACAAAAGTCAGGTGAAACCTTAGTTCTGGAGGACTTTGTGAGCTGATATGCCAGACCTGGATTACTGTGTTACTTCCCTAAATCTGCTGTAACAAATTACCACAAATGGGTAATGGATTTAGGAAGACAGATAACTGCTCTGTCATCATTCTGAGGCTGTAAATTCACAATCAAGGCATAAGCAGGCCTGTGATCCCTCTGAGGTACACGGACAGAAGCCTGGCCTTTGACCTTCCCTGTTTCCAGCAGCTCCTGGTTTGGGGAAAATGCAACTAAAGAGATATTTTATCCTGTCCCAGAAACATTTTCAACACAGGTAGAAGTGACA